TTTTTATTTCCACTACCAGATCGTTTTTATTTCCACTACCAAATTCAAAGAACTTTAGTTTTGCATTTGAATATCATGGAAATCTTCCATTGAAGAAGTGAAAAATATAAGCCATTTGACTATTAAAAAAGTCAGATCCGAGAAATCAAAGGTGGAACCCTAATGATCATGCAGGCTAAACTTGTGGAATACCCCAAAACATGCTAAGCTAAAATATTTTGTAATATAAGATCAACAAAAAATTAAGACAATAATCCCCACAGGTAGTGTTGATAGAAATAGCGTCCTTATTGTGCTGCTCATAATAAATGGGAAATAAAGAACAATTAAATAGCAAGTTATAAGGCAGGTAGGCAATAACAAAGCAATATTATGCAGGACAGAACAAAAATCAATACATAAGGTATGTGCCATACTACAAAAAATACATTGATATTAAATTAGAAAAGAAAGATTTTGCAATAATATTCTAACCTCCAAAAAGAGAGGTCTCTCTTGATGAGCTTTTAGACTTTGGACTACTTTTCTTGGGATTAACACCCACAGGCTTAATTTCCCCAGCAATATAACCACTAGAAATACCATCTGAAGACTGAACTTTTGGTTGAATTCCTTCTAGTCTGGCATTAATAGCTTTCACCTGAAATCATTGTAATTCAATGAAAAAAAGAAAAATAAACTCTCAGTAGTTATGAAATGTTAAATTCAATATCTACATTATGGATGTAAATCACACATGTTCATGAGTACACTATATTAAATAATTAAATAATAATGATTAATGTTACCATAGATGAAGGAAGATTATGGCGCTGAAGTTCATCACGAAATTGGGACCCAGCTTGTGTATACATCTCCTGTAAAAGAGAGAGAGAGAGAGAGAGAGAGAGAGAGAGAGAGAGAACGTATTAAAGGAATGTAATGATATTCTTCTTAAATTTTAAACTCCAAACCAGTATGCTCAACTATGCATATAATATGATTTAATCAGGCTTTGCATAGTGTATAATGATATCAATAAAGATATTCAATTAAACATTAAAAAAACTAACCCAGTTATACATTATTGTTCATAATTGAATTAAAACAGAACACCAAACTCTCAAAGAACAGGGTTGCATCAATTCTTAAATTTAGAGCCGAGTAAAGTTGGCAAGATGCCGGAAGCCCCAGCACTTGAACCCCGTCCCCCCCCCCCCTTCCGTAAAAGCTAGTTATCAAGAGGGAAGAATAAGGCCACTTAGATACATCTTCAAACATTCTATACTTGTTGTAGGACCTAGACACCCCATAATATCCAAGTCCCTGTTGTAGTTGCACACTCAGAGCCGATACTAAGATGTAACATGCAAGCCAGTTTGAACAGTACAAAATGACAACAAATATTTACCTCAACGCACAAAATAGCTGCTTCCCTTACAGCAAGATTCAAATCATTAAGCAACTGCAGAATCTGACATTGACCAATTTTGAAAGGGTTAGTATCATATTCAAGAAATATTGAATAATAAAAGGACCTGTACTGTTTGTCGATGAAATTCAATGAACATACCGGAGGAAGAATAGCACGTTGAAGAGGAAGCTCAGTAGATGAAAATAGACCAATAGCAGATGTGACAGTTCGCACAAATTCCTCTCTAACTCTCCAGCTTTTGCTTGTCCAAGCAAAGGACCCTGCTCTTTCAACAATTATAGTGGGAGATGAAACCTGAAATAATAATAAAAATCTCAAAATAAAAGGAAATTCAACTACACACATAATTTAAATCTGCAACAAAATCAGCCCAAGGAAACAGTAAAATTTCTTCATATTTGGATGGATATATAATAAATACCAAAAATTCACATAGCCTCATTGTAAATGTACTCTGCTGCTAGGGTAAACATGGAACTGTATTCTAATTTCCAAAAGAAGCATTCAAGGTACAATGAGGGCATACAGATTTATATATTCAAACTGGGAATTTACATGGATTAGCCATGCACGACTCCATTTGTTTGGCAATATATCATAACCAAATGCCAATACCGACATTTTGCAATGAACCAAGCACAATGTTCAATGCATAGCAATCACCTACTCTAATAGCTTCCAGCTTAACCTGTTAATTGTTACAGATCTATACTCGTTCATAGGTAATTTTAAAAAGTAGGCTTTGTCTATTAGCAGTTAATAGTGTGCCATCGAGTTTCAGTGTATACGATCATGGCAATGTTCGGAAGAGCTTATTCATTTCAATTTAGCTTATTTCAATAAGCTATATTTTAATCTACCCAAAATAAACTATTTTTAGTTTATATCAATAAGCTTTACATGACTCAAAATTATGAGATAAACTCTCATGGGATAATTGAATAAACTGACATCACCTATCTACTCAAGCAGAGCCTATATCAATGATTGATGACAATAGCTACTATCATATCATTGAAATTCGCTCACATGCAACTGTCAGCACCACAGGCTTGAATATGGTTTGGCTCACTAACAAAATAACCGCATGGTCTAAATCCCATGTTCAGGATTTCATTCATCGAACAACCTACTAGGATAACATAAGGAAGATATGGTATTGGACTAAAACAAAACACTATGACCGCATGAAAAACACTTGAGAGTGAAGCGCACAATTCTGATCAAATATCTAGAGATATATTTAGAAATAGGAAGTCAAGTGGAGTCAATAAATCACTACTAACCTCAAATCCAAGCAATCACTGATCCACTCATCAGATTTTTCATTTGCCAGAAATGAAGAAGAGTGCAACATTCATGCACAATTGCTAAGATTTAAATACCGCCGAGCTTCCTCTTCGTACACTCAAAGTGTTATTCCCCAATCTCACTTTTTCTACCGACAACCAACTTTATCAATTAATTATTATTCACTCTCATCTCTACTCACTCATAGACTCACTTTTCACTTTCCACAATAACAGATGCGGAGATTCTCTACTTTGTAAAAAACCCAGTTACCTAACTCTCTTCCTTCCGAGGTTTCGCACTAACGATTCACTAACAGCAACACATACATAAATAACAATTCAAGGAATCGAAGGTATTTACCTCCATGAGAGTAAGCAAGAGGCGTCTGGCAGCGTCGCGGACAGGCTGTTTGGCATCGCCAAACCGTTCAACAACGGCGGGAACGAGCGCGTTGAAGTGGAGCTTGAAGTGGTCGCCGGCGCGGACGGCGGCAGAGTCGAGCGCCTGAAGCGCGCCCTGCGAGACCTTGAAGCTGCTGTCCTTCAAGAGATCCAGGCAGCAGTCAACGAGCGAGGTGACTTCGGCGGAACTGAGGTTTCTTCTAGAAGCTTCGAGAACCTCGTGGAGGCGCTCCACGCCGGCCATCCTCTCCTTGGCGTCCTTGGCGCGTGCGAGCTCAAGCGCTTCCTCCATCGCGCAGGGTTCGGATCTGGCGCGGCCGCGTGCAGATCTGAAACAACCGTTCCCGAATTCACCACCGCATGGAGAGCAGTAACGGCACCGAGAAGCTGCGAAATGCCAATGAAATGAAAATGCGAGTATAAATAAATGCGAATGCGGGATTTAAGAGTGAGTGAGAGTGAGATGGTGAATTTGGCGGAGGAGTGGAATTGAGGGAAGCGGTAGGAGAGAGAAAGAGAGTGGAGAGTGGGGACTGGAATTGACGGAGAAGGAAACTGTGGAAGATGATGACTCAGAGATGAAACGAAAATGATTTGAAAACTATGTTTATGGGGTTGCACTGCTTGCAAAATTAACCTTTCGTCTGCTTCTAAATTACGACCTATACCACTGTTCAGTGCTGAGTTGGATTGCTTTTAATATTTAAGTTTTTTTCCTTTTTATATTATTTTTATAGTAAGATAAAGCAAAAATTAAAGCAAAAAAAAAAAATTTGTTTTATGAATATTATCCTTAGGTTTATTACTATAACTAAGACGTTATTTGTGTATCTAATTTTTTATATACTTAATTTTGTTAAAAAGTATTAGTTTTAATTTTTTTTCATTGATTACATATTACATTTTTATTATTTTTAAAATATATAAATTATAATAAGAGTTTTTTAAAATTATAATATTTTTATTCTTTTTTCAATTCTATTGAAATAGAATTCACTCAAATATATATTATGATTTCTTCTCTCGAGGGACTACAAACATTTAAATTTTATACTTTTATATATTTTTTTAAACTTGATTGTCAATATTAAATAGCAGCTAAAAATATATTATGACAAATTCGCCTGAAAAAAAGAGATTTCGGATAATTATTTTCATAATGCAAAAAATCCGTTAAGAAAAATCTTAAAAATAATATTGGACACGTTTATAAATCCAAACACTATGTTATTTTAATAAATAATTATATGTATAGTTGATTATCATTGTAATTAATAATAAGTGGGAAGTTTTTTCTTTTAAGTATACTGGAAATAATTATTTTTATTTGAAATGTAAAAATATAACTTATATAAAAAAAAAGTGTATACAATCAAAATAAAAAATAATTAAATAACAATCATAATTTGTAAATTTAAAATTTCATAAAAATAATTTTATTAAAAAAATACTAAAGTTAAGTTGATATTCTAAATATAATGAGTAAATATTTTTATTAAAATTAGCTGAAAAAAAAGTCTTTCAAACATACTGTATAATTTTATATATATATATATATATATATATATATATATATATATATATAATTTTTTGTTTTCTTCGAAATTTGGTAGAATAGAAAAGGAGATATTCATAATGGAGATTGAAGTTAATTTTGATGAAATTCCTTTAAATTTTATATGTAATTTAAACATAGATTCATAGTTAGGTTTAATTAAGTTTTAGTCTATGTAAATTATATTTTTTGTTTTCCGCCCTTTAAAAAAATCATCTCTCTTAATTTAAAACTTTTCTTTATTTTATTTTGAGTCTTTATTGTTTAATATTATTAATATTAAAATGCATCATGGTGACGTTAACGTATGTCACGTTACTATTTCAACAGTGTCAAATTATTGCAATAGTAGAGAGTCTAAAAAAAGAAGGAAAATAAAATAATTACAGGTTAAAAAAACACATAAACTACAACAAAAGAAGAAAGTTATATATCCACATCCATACAAAATAATTGAAATCTTTGATGCAACTTTATTAGATGATGAAACAATAATATTTTTTGAAGGGTTGTTCAAAATACTTTTTAAAGAGTAGGTGAGTAAATGAAATATTTTTCTGCCAAAATACTTATTAAATTAATACCTAAGAGTTAAGACACGCCTTGGTTTATGTAGAAGACATTTGATTTGATGAAGAATAAAATCAAACACATTCCCAATTTATGAAAGGATGAAATTATATTTTAAAACATTATATGTATCAAAAAGTGTATCTTTCTCTTTGAGTTTTCCTAACATGACCAAATGTATAAAATTGTGTTTAATAATAAATTGGTATTGATGCTGGTTTTAATTGTTTTGAATTTTGTAAAAAGATCCTATTGTTTATATAAAATTAGAGCAAACTTTATACACTTAAATAAATTTATGATTTCACATAAATTATTATTTTAGTCAAGATTAACATAGGCAGAAGAATATTATGAGAAAATTAAAATAGACTCTAACGTGTATTAAAAATGATTGAGAATAATAACTTAATAGTATGTGTTTATTAATATATTGAAAAAAATTATGATATACTATGGGTTAATTAGGTGAATAAAATCAAATTTGAGTTTTTTTTAAATAAATACATTTTTTATTTCAATACTTAATAGTAATCTAACTAATATTTTTTTCCCGGTTCAATTTCTCTAAGTTAAGAGATAAATATTGTCTACTTTGGACCGAGAAAAGACTTTTTGAATATATTACAATAATTTTATTTTTACAATAATAATTATTTATAAAACTATTATTTGTTATTTAGAATATCAAGAGAGCACATTAAGAAAAAGCAATATTATAAATGTATAGTTGTTAGTAAAGTTTGAGTAAATTATAATGATAAAAAAATTTAATATTTGTTAACAAGATTTATAAGCGTAAATCAAAAAATCTAATAACAAGATGTTCTTAATTTCTTAAGTTAAATAAACTTCTTCTTTTTTCAATAAGTTTTTCATTGGATTTGAAATATGACATGTGTTTCCTTCTGTTAAGATTTATTTTTTATATAAGAATCAATTTCTTAATAATAAAAAGCTAGTTCTGCAGTAACAAAAGCATATATATAAATTATAATTTTTTAAAATTTGAGATAGTTGAAGTTCCTTATAGTTTCTCACATTAAAGAAACAAATTGTACATTATTGGTGATAATATGACATAATAGGATCATAATTTTGTTTATTTATTTAATATATGAAATAACTGATGATAGTTGATTCAGCTGAAGATGATTTTAGGTTCATAAAATATTTTTTAGTTATCAATCTATGAACTTTATATTACTTTTTTTAAGATTTCGACATTGTGTTTAATATTTTATTGAAAAAATAGTTTAGATGATTTATATGGAATATAAGGTTGATGTATCAGTACAGGGATGATAATGTTGGATGCATCCGACCTAGACTATATAAGTGACAATAATACTTTGTGATAGATGGCAATCAACATAACATCTTTCAATAAATGGTTTTATGTTCAAAGAAATCACCCATCATTGTAATCCATTCTTCTCTATTAATCTCAACAATGAAACAAATCACATGTCATTACATATAGAATTAGAAAAAGGAGTCATTCTAAATAAAAATACAAAAATAAGGATGTTGGTTAAAAATAAAGGGGATTGTAAAAAGTATAAAGAGATCAAAAGATAAATAATGCATATTGAATACCTAGTTGGGGTTTTGAAAATCACCTTAATAATATTTTCTCATTGTAATTTATCAATAACAATTAGCAAATATCACCCTTTCATGTTGTTTTTTATATATTTATATTAAAACATCTAACATTATAAGTTGAATTTAAAGACTGTTTATGCTTAGTTTGTATAGAACTAAACTTATAAATTCGCAAATCTAGATAATTTATTCCTGGATTTTAAAATTAACTTCATTCCATTGTAATTACACTACCGCTAGAAGTGATGCTGCATTTGCATATACACTACATATATAATAATATAATGACATATATATAACATTGGAGAGCGTAACATTGGAAAACACACACCCAAACACACAAAACACAACGACAATGGTGATGAAGCTTTTGCCTCACTGGCTCACACTCAAATAAATAAGTAAATTAATTAAAACCTCTTAATAGATGTTGGAATCAATGGCCATGATGGTACTGAGATTCATTGGGGTCATCATGTCAGAGGTTCCACTAAAGATGTCTCGGACAATAAACCCTAGAGCACGTTCAGATGGGTGAAATGGATCCCAAAATGCATATGTGTCACGATTTGGACACAAATTTGATGCTACAGTGCATAATCCTAGCCCGTTGAAACGACCTTGACCACAACATGCTATCTTTGATGTAACAAAACCTGTTTCCACGTCAACAATTAAAGATAAGAATTGGTGGGTTAAATATAATAAAAAAAGTGAAATGAATGAGGAGCTGGTGAGAGACCAAATCTTTGAGGATCGGTGATGAAGTTCATGTTCATTTGGAAGGCATTGACAGCAACAAAAACGTCAGAGCCTAGTTGGGAGTTGAGATCTCTGATCATTTGGACCAAAAGTGGGTTGAAAATTTGTGCAGCTTGTTGTAACTCAGGTACACACTCTCCATTCCTACTCCTCATAGCAAGTTCAGCAGGAACACAACCCAATGGACCAGTTCCAGTTACAAGCACTCTTCTAGCTCCCAACTCATACAACCTCTGCATTATCATTTATAAATGCACCACTGAATTAAATGAGCCCATATCAATAATCTTCTTGTATGGTTGCATCAAACCACTAATCTATCTCTTTCACTTTAGCCTTTTTTCAGAAAACTATCTCCTGCATTTTGTTTCTTTTTAAACAGACATTTTCTCATCTTTTAGTTTTTATAAAAATAAGGAATGTCCCCAAATACATGGTTATATTTACTTTATAAAATCAAAAGGCAAAGAAACGAAAGTTTATCAAACTATTGAGCCCAAATACATGGTTACATTTCTGTTTTTTTACTTCTTCTTCTTTAAGGCTAGGCTCTGCTCTACTGGGACCAAAACAAGGAAGAGGAGTGATGGCGCAAAAAGGACGAAGCATGAACAAAAAAACATAAAACAAACGGAAAAATAAAATGTAATGAACTTTCTATTAAAAATAATAAATAATGTTATAGGTGGACATTATTGGGATATTTTGAGAAAAATGAGTGTTTTGTATTATAACTCGTTTGCGAAAATGCTAGAAGCTTTATAATCACGTTAAATTTTATGATTGTACTAACATTTTCGACAATTTTACACCTCAACTTGAGTGGTTTCATACACTCAACATATTGTTGTTTCATGATGAGAAAAAACTTGATATATAATATTTTGTCAAAATTGTTGTTATTATTATTATTTAATAATATTCATATATTAGTCTCAGTAATTATATATTTAAAAGTGGTTTTATTTAATCAATATATCTAAACTTTCAAAATTATTACACTTCAAACTTACTTTCCACTAAAATCAATATTTATTACATCAAAATTGCTTCAAATCAAATTTAATAATGTCTCACTCTCATGGCTTATTTGCTAATCCATCTTCTAGAAAATCTTAGGTCAGAACTTCTCATAGTACATGTATTTATATCAATTAAATAAATTTCTTAACTGAGAATAAGTAATGCTTAATTTTTTTTTGAGAATAAGTAATGCTTAATTTTTTTTCAACAAGAACTTGTACAATATTAAAAAAAAATCATGTATACAAATAAAATTAACTTCCGTTTTTATTTATTTTTATATAAAACAGATGTGCACGAATTGATTTAAATTCATAGAGAAAATATTTTTATGTTTTCAAAATGCCTAGGAAAAAATTTACCTAGACAAGATTTGTGACTTCAACAACTTTACGTTACACTTGTATTTTATGTTATGAAGATTTTAATTCGAACTACAAATTCACAGTAACATAATGCCTTGTTACACGATAATTTGAAGTTAAGAATATCTATTTTTTTATAATTATTTTTTACATGCAGAAAATAATACTTTTACTATATTTCCCACAACATTATTTTTAATGAAATTTGAAAACCTAATTTATCTGAGTTATATATATATATATATATATATATATATAGATGTGTCGTAAAGGTAACAAAACGAGTTACCCAGCCCAAGCAAGTCGTGGGTTAAAAGAGTTAGCTAGAAAAACCCGAATTCAAGTGAGCCTATGAAATAAAGCTCAAACTAAGTTATATATATATATATAAAGGATTTTTTAGATCTTTAAGTGACCATTACATACTATCTCAATTTGGTTTCAAAATTTACTAATGTTTCGTATAAATGGTAAGAAATTGAAGGAAATGGAAAAGAGAGATATAGACCGAAATTATATAAGATTTTATGGATGAATTGAAAATAAAAATTAAAATAAGTAAAAATTAAGATATTTTTATTTATTATTCTCTATTATTTATTATTATTATTATATATATATATATATATTGAAAATAAAAACTAAAATAAATAAAAAATAAGATATTTTTATTTGTTATTCTCTATTATTTTTTATTATATATATATATATATATATATATATATATTACCATGTCATGACATAATCAATTATAAACATTTATAACTAGTGGAAATGTAACACTAAAACGCCCTTTCAATTTTTTTTATAAGTATCTTCTAAATAACATGAGAAACAGTTATAAAAAGAAAAATATTATAGATATCTATAAATTTTCTTTAAAGATTAATTCAAGTGATAAAGAAAAAGCTTTTAATTAATATTCTAATTTTTAGAAATATTATATAATTGTTATCTAAATTTATTTATTTATTTGCCTTTCCCTCCAAAACCACACCCCCATCACACGAACAGGCGTAGGTCAATTAATACTGTAACGAACAAATGGCAGGCAGATATGAAGTGGTCCAAAAGGAGAAAGTGGATGGAGTTGTTACCGCCAGAATTTTTCGATACTCAGAGATTAGGTATCGGCAGTACTGAGGGACAGTGAATTGACGAGACCTGGCAGACACAGGAGTCAGAAAATAGTTGTTAACGAAGTCGTTTCCGCCCAGCGTCATCAGCACCAGCGCCCCATTCACCACGCTCTTCGCCCGCGCCTCCCCCACCTCCGCACTCAACCGCGCCTGGTACTGCTGGAACAACGCAAACTGCTGAAACATTCTCAGTATCCCCACCTGCACCGTTTCACACACTTCAATTCTCTAAAGTATGCTTTTAAAATTTATAATTAATTTTCAATGTCACGTGAAAGACTTCAATTAATTGCGAATGTCGTGGTTGGTTAGGGTTAATTAATTAATTAATCAATCGCATTGATGTATAACCAACTATGTAGAGATAGGGGAATTTACGAATTGAAAGCCGGTGTCGTTAAGGATTCCAATCCCTGCGGAAGCGAAATTCGCCCCGATCAAGAGCCTTTGTCCGGTTAATTCAGGGCTCAAGTATGGTAGCGTGGGTTGAGATCCTATATGCTGGCCTGTATGTAAATTAATTAAACGATGCTCACATTAATTTGATAGAACAATTATTATGCATGATTGAAGATGGAAGTGAGCTAAGTGATTACTGATTAGGTCAGGGAGGTTGAAGCCGTTGGAGAAGCGACCAGTGGGGCGGTGGGTGGGGTAGTCGATGCCGTAGGGAGGAGAGTCGGCGCGTGCGGTGGTTGGGAGGTAATTGTTGTTGCCACTGTCAACTAATGAGTCTCCGAACACGAAGAAAGCGCGAGCACCTTCTGCTCTCTTTGTGGTGGTGACCAGTGTCACCACCACCATGGTTAGGGCAATGAGGATCACTCTCGAGCTTGACATAATTTTGAATGGGTTGTGGGTGATGGTGCATTCTAGGACTTGAGTGCGCTCCTCTTATATAAGATTCTCGTGCCATGCATGAATGTATATTTTAATACACTCACAAAAATATCTCCAATCATAAAGTTGCTAAAAAAACTTTAACTAAATTTTCTAAATTATACATTCATTCACCTATTAAAATTGATTATTTTTCATTTAAAGTATAATTTTTAAAAAATAACTTACTTCATGATCGTAATTACATTTCATATTGATTAATATTTTAAAACTAATAATTTATTTAAAAAGGAGATACAATATTTAATTTGTTATTATTATTATTATTATTATTATTAAAAATGAAGGGATTCGATGTTTAATGCTTATAACCCAAGCTTAAGTGAAGCCATGAAAATTCAAAGAGATTAATGTTGAACTGGTTTGTTTGTCAGCTGGCCAACCAGAACACGCGTTTTGAAGAAAAATAAATTTCTACTTTGTCAAGACCTAGTGATTGTTCACATAAAGAGAAAACAAATAATTTTTTTTAATATTATATTAATAGTATGAACAAAGATACCATTATTTCTCAAGTTGATTATAATATTAAGGTAGTGATTTGTTGTTTACTACTCATATAAAACCTAGACAAAACATTCATTAAGATACATAGAATAATGTTTCATGCCTATTCGCGATTATATTATGTTTCATGCATCATATAAAGTAGTAAAATAAAACTACTTTTAAAATAAATAAATAATAATAATAATAATAATAATATTATTATTATTATTATTATTATTACTATTATTATTATAAGAAGTGTGGTCCTATGGAAGTAATTGAAGTTAGAATACAGAAAGACTTGGATGTTGGAAACGATGGAACGAGTAGCAACTTTCCGGACTGATCGGGCATGGGAGGTACGAAGGAAAACAATTCATTAATGGCATTTTAAATACCATCAATCAATGAACTTTTATTTGAAGTGGCTTAGATTATTGCAAAAAAACTCATTTCATTTGAACATAGAATTTTAGTTATTTGTTTTATTATAGTATAAATATATTATGCAGTTAACAATAAGAAAATTTTGTTGATTTTAAACATAGGTAAATTTTAACTCTTTTAATCATATTTAATATTATTATATTAAAAAATGTATTTTTAAATATGAACCAAAATGACTTAAAATAATTTAGAAATATTTTTTACAAAATTAAGAATGTTAAATAAATTTAACTATAGTATATATAATCAATGTGAAATTAATAATTTTTATTTATTTTAAATTGAGAGACAATAAATAAAAAAATAATAAACTTCTTTATAAGTTAAAATTAACTTAGAAGATAAAAAAAATTGAAAATATATATGAAAGAACTTTAATAAATTAATTTATACATAAAATAATTTTAATATATAGAATTATATTTTTCATACTTGTTCGCTTAGAGCATATGTTACGAAAGATATTTAAGGGTTTGATGCAACGGTACTATTAAAGCATTTTGACATGACATTTGAAATTGGTTAAAATTGATTTGATTGTTTTTATATTTACTGTTCTTCATGAATAAAAACCAATATTTTACCCAAATTTATATTATACTATAAATTATATATATATATAATTATGAATTGTTTGAAATATTTTAAAAATTGAGTTAAATTATTTATAGATGATGTAATATAATAAAAGTAATGAATAATATTTTTGATATATAAAATAATTAAGATAAGTTTTTTTTTTTAAGAAACTCTTATTGAAAAAACTCGTCCAAAAAACGTTACTCCGACATGTTCAAAGTGATTGCCAGAGTTGCTATTTGTTGTGAGTTATAAAGATTTGAAGTTATTGCATTGACAAATGAGAGCACACACTTGGTCAACCAAATATGAAAATGCACCCAATAGTGCCCCTTTTCAATTGTCTTTTTTATTTATTTTATTTTTTACTAAAAAAGATTAAATATTTATACATTTGGAGGATGATTGTGGCAAAATTGGATATTCATAATCATTAATATAAATAATGTGTAAAAGACTAGTTTAATAAAAGTGGTTTGAATAAATACGAAGATTTTATTATGAGTATCTATTTAAAACTTACTCAAGATTGTTTATATAAATAATTATTTTTTTTTAATTTTAAATGATTTTTTCCCAATCAACTTTAAATATGAGACTTATAATATATTTTTTTAAATTCTTATTAGCAACTATCATTAAAAATACTCAGATATTGATCTTGATATGTAATTAATAATTAATCAAATTTTATATTTGGAAAGATTATTGGATTAATTGTAAAATAAAAATATGTAATAATCTTCTTATATTTTGATTAAGAATAAAAATGTTTTAATCTTAAATTTGTTATAATAATATTATTAAAATTAATTAACACATTTAAGATATTATTTATTTTAAAAAAATAGTTTATCAGAATTTTGTTTTTAAAAAATATTCTAATGAATTGAAAAAGAAAAATATATATTAATTATAATAATCTTTATTTTTAGAGCATGTAGGATTCACAATAGTTTAAGAAATAAACTAATTTTTACTTGAAATACAAAATTTGTTATTGAGATTAACTTAAAATATATATTTCAATTATATTCAATATATATATATATATATATATATATATATATATATATATATATATATATATATATATATATATATATATTAACTTATGTAAAACGGGCCTCGTTTTCAAACACTCATAACACTTGAAAATATGCACTTAAATTAATTTAAGTATTGTTCATGGGACTAATTTATTCTCACAAAACCAATTTATGAGATTAGGGGTGCTTAATAAAAGGCTTAAGTTTTTTTTAAAAACTATTATCTTTTATTAACATGAACTTTACTAATTTTTTCTCAGTACAAACGAAATTTTGGGTTCTGTAAATAATATGGTAAATGACAAAATAACAATTTTAGTAGCATCATTTTGATAATATAATAGATTTTGTGTATAAATCATTCCATTGAAAATGGAGATTAATTGTGTGTTTATTTGGTAAACAATCAATCATTATCAACATGCATGCCTTTTAATGTGCAATCCATCTGTATTTGAAATTAATATAAATATAAATTTCGGTGGTTAATCTTCATTAAAAAAAATATTTTCCACTAATAAAACTTTAAAATATAAAATTTGCCTATATAAATTAAGTATACCTTTCTTCGTATTAATGATCTCTTCATTAATTTATTCATTTTTAATATAAGTATGAATTTTTTATAGAATTTTTTTTTAAATGAATTCATAATTTGTTAAACATCATTTCACATAAGCAAATAATGCGAGATTTTTAATACGTTTTTTTCCTTTCCAATAAAATCTATAAATCAAATAAATGATAATATAAACAAAAATTATCGTTAATTTAAAGTATTAGATATCAAACCATTATAATTAAATCACTTCAATCAAAACTCATACTAATTGGAATAACCTACTTAAAAGTGCTCTTAAAAGCACGCAGTTAGCTACCATAAACAGATATATTCAACTGAAAACCATGTTCATCCTTAAATATGTCATTCTGGTGTGGGAATATGTTAGTACAATTAATTTATATTCGACTACACTAAAAAAAATGATAGTTTTACATCGTTTGAAAAATCAATAATATTTTTTTAATATATTAAAATATCTTTTAAAGGTAATTATTAACCTAAATATCAAAATATATTTTACCTATATTTAATTATTATTTATTTTATTGTACAATACAATACAACTAAAAGAACATTGTAGTTATACAATACAACTAAAATAAAAAATAATAATAATTTATTTATTATATTTTTTTATATCAATATTCTTATTCACTAATGTTTTTTACAATTACACTCAGATGCCTCGATTGAAGAATTAAAGAAAATAAAAAATATTATTTCGAAAATTGAATTAGATTAAACGATTTTACTTTAATAATCATTAAACAATTTAACTACTTTAATCAATAATTGATCTAAATTGCTTTTAAATAATTAAAATTTTAATTAAACCAAATAAATTTTAATAAATTTTTTATAAAATATATAATATATTTTTATTTTTTATTTTATTTTAATAATTATACATTTTACATCCTTTAATATATTTTATATTTATAATTTTTTATTATTTATGATAATTATAATAATATTTTTAAAAAATAATATTACTAATAAATTTATTATATTATTATATTTTATTATATTTTTTAATTCTAAATCTATATTTTTATCAATTTTAATGGACGATCTAATTTTAAAAACATAAACAATAAATAAATAAATAAAAAGACAATAATTATTTTCAAGAAAAACACAATACATTTAAGATAAGCCTTATAAACAATATTGTTGTCAAAACATATATAATATTCATTCATCACAGAACCCTTCAAATTTGGATAAGAACAACTTAAAAAAAAAAAAACTAGGTTTAAACATGGTGTCACAATCCTGTTCCTGTATTTTGTGTAACAAGTTGATTGAAGGGAAACACTGCAACGTAACGTATCCTTTCAATTACGTCAATAAATGGCACCAGAATTTCTGGACATTAAATTTTTAAGAGTAAGTGATACTACAGAGTGCAGGAACTTTAGGTCACTTTCTAAATTAATGATGAAATCCAATCGTTGATCACAGGCACCAGCACAATCTGAAAGGCTATTATTACGTATCTGTTTTTATTTATTGGGTCGGTAGAAAAAACGCACTCCAAGGATTAGTTGATGTTGCATGTGAGTTACATAAATGGCTAAGGTTTCGACAAAAGAAACAAATGACCGAGCCTAAGCCGCGAAGGTAGTTCGTCCTACTTTTATTTTAATTTTATATCAAATCACATAAAAACAAATTCTCACTGTTTTCCTTTCACCTCCCATTGTTTCATCACAATTGAATGCTTCGTCCCGCGACAAGCACAAGACCATCGTCACTACACAATTCTAAGATGTTTTCGCTCACAGGAAATTTCCACACTTTGTCAAGAA